GAGGTCAATGGTCCAACGACTACGGCATGCACGACTATGAGTACCCCCCCCCCCCCATCCTCCGTTGTCAAAAGAGTTACCAACCATAAGCCTTCCGTATTTAAGCTAGCTGCCATCGTATGTACCCCGTGCCTATTGCACGTCTCTTTTCTCCCCGCTTTTCATTCCCCTATCGCCAACTTCAACGAACAACCGAAATGGCCGGTTGGTCATTATTCAACACGATGGATCAATTCATCGCCAATCTCTCCCAGACTTTTTTATCTTCGGAAGAGTTTAGTTGTGATTTTTAAAGACAATATGCATTACTAGCACAAAACCCGAATGCTGAGTTCATTGCTAATCTTTCCCAGATCTTAGTGTGTGCAGGTGATGAAATATTTGTTGTGTTTTTGTTGACACCAATAACAAAACAAAAAATGATGCCAAACGAAAAATCCAAACAACACAGTTCGGTCCCAAGGGAGTCCTGCACACGTGCGACAACGACGAGGGCATCCGGGCGCGCAACACGATGCACAACCGGGTCAAGGCCGACGCCTTCGTGCCCGCCGGCGGGCGCCCCGGGACTATCAACGGCTCCAACTGGCGGTCCTACCTCGACAGCGGCGGGACCCCTTCCAGTACTCTCGTTGTAGAAGGGTGAGAGCCAAACTCAAAGTGGGGGGGGGTTACGTGGGAGAAGCAAAACGTGGGGAGGGGGGAGGGGGTCGTTCTGCACACTCGGCAAATCGTGACCAGGGTGAGGCTGACTCTTTGCTCGATGCTTTCGAATTTGGTATATATATTAATTTGCACCCCCTTTGCTCGCCAGGGGGGGGGAGAAGAGTAGGAACCGGGGCCACACGAATCACGCGTACCGGTCCCCACATCCACCATCAGTATGCAACACCAGCCACCCAACAGACGACATAGAGAGAAAACTCGGTCTGCCCCCAACAAACACGGCTTGTGTTTCATACTGATTCTCTCCCCCCCCCTCTTACAGCCAAGCCCACAATATACCATACGCGGCCGCTTACCCGCGCGCATTATATACTCAGACAGGACAAGCCGCCCGCGCTCTCCTCACTTCAAAACCTTCCTGACTACAAGCGGCTCTCCTTCCGCTTCTCACATTATTCACACGGGAAGGGCAGGCAGGCCGCGCTCGTCTGGCTTTGAAACCCTTTCTGAAACGATAAGCGGTATACAACGCATCGATATTCCATCAAAAATACAAGCGGGCCGCACCCTTCTCACTTCAGAACCGTCCTGAAGCCAAGCGGCATTCTGCTTCCGTTTCTCACATACATCATTTAACTAGAAAGAACAAGCAGGCCGCACTGTTCTCACTTCAAAACCTTCCTGAAGGCCAGCGGTACCAAACGCATCGATATACCCTTCAGAAATTACCAGCAGGCCACACTCCTATGTGACCCCGGTTGGGTCGTCTAGCCAGTAGAAGTGGAGGATAGGGGCCAGAGGGGCCGACGGCAGAGTCCAATGATGGGAGAGAAACAAAACAAACAAACAACAAACTCTTCGCTCGCTTCAAACCCTGAACCGGCCGTTACAACACATTGATTCCTCCAACCGAATATAAATACATCCTCATGCAACACCCCATCGAGTTCCTTGCCCTGGCTGCTTACTACCAGCAGCATCTTGCAACACCTGCGACACCCACCTAGCATCAGACCCTACATTGCGCATGTAACATTGGTAACTACTCTCGCCGGCCCACCGCCCCTCTCGGCGAAGAGTCTCCGGCGTAGCTCCTGCTGCCGCCAAGAAAGTCGCGCCCCCAATACGAAGGGAATGCAGCGCGTATTCCGCGGGCTGAAGACCACCCAACGCGACCACTTGGCGCAGGGCGACAGTCGCCTGATGCTTGGTCCACATGGCCCACCTGGTGCCACCGACGCCAAAGGCAACTAGGGGGGCAGTAGGAGGCAGGAACGGGTGAAGGGAGAGGAGTTCGATCATAACATCAACAGCTCCCCCCCCGTGAGACACTGGGCGATACGGACCCTCCCGAACCCTGGTGCACACCGCACCTTTGCGAAACTGGTCACCCTTGGACGATCTGAAACGAACTTCAACACGGTCCGACAACGCCCAACTCTCGGGAACGAACAACTGCTCGTCCCCCCGGAAAAATGCGACGTCTCCTCGCCGCAACCCATGCTCCGCATGCATGGCCAACTTGGACACGGCGAACATTTCCGACGCGCGAGTCAAAAAGAAAAAGGACACACTTAGCGCCAGAAACAACACACGACCTCCCACTCCCCATTGAGGCACCAAACGAGACCCTTGTTGCAGCAACGCCCACGACACCGGCCGGCGCAATCGCTGCTGCGAACCCCCACCGGCGTGTCCTCTCGCCGCTCCTTTCAGTGCACACCGGATAAACGGGTGCTGTGTCGGAAGCTCTCCTGCGCCACGCAACCGATGGTAAAACTTGACAGCGGACAAATAACCGGCAATGGTTGAGTGCTGCAACCCCAACACAGAAAACGCGTATGCCACGAAGTCAACTAACTGGCCAATAACAGCACCCGCATCCTCCTCGCGGGAAATAAACACCGGTTGATCCACGACGTCGACGCGAAACTTCACCCAGCCTCCAAAAAGGCCCAGGTAAGTGCGTTCAGACGTTGCCGCAAGTGACTGAAGCACGAGGCTGACGCCAGCACGGCGGAGCACATCTCTTGCCCCGACAGGTCCAACTCCACCCTCTGCCAACGAACGTGGGGAGCAGCAGCGCAGAGGTTGTCATGTACATCAGGGGAATTCCACCGTGAGATACCATCGGCGACCGAGTTCAACACACCAGGCACATGCGAGGATTGAAAAAACCAACCAGTAGACACTTCGACAGCGCCCAACATGCGCATAAGTGCACCGGACCGAGGCTCCTTGCCTCCACGGCATCGGTTAATCCACGCCACGCTGGACTCGTTGTCACCCCTCAACTGAATACAGGCTCCTGATTCGGACGGTTCATGGCGCGGCTGAACGATCAGCGTCCACGCACCCACGACCATGCCCAACAGTTCAAGCACGTTAATGCTAATATCATCTGCGCCGTTCACGGACTTGCTAGACCCCACAAACCGAGATTGCTCATTGGGCATCAGCTCACGTCGGAAATAACATCCGGTTTCTAAACAGTATCCACCAATGGCGGTTTTAGACGCGTCCGTGAACACAGCCATCTGCGGGGGGCGTGGTGCGATACTATACATCGGGGAACACAAGAAACCCCCCCGCAAAGCGAGACCCCGCGCGACGAACCACCGCCAGAACTCCAATTCATCATGGAACATAGGTCCCAAAACGACACGTCGGGCGGGATCGGAAACACGCGAAGGGAAAACGTCGGACTGTGGCATCCCGACAGCTGCGAGCAAACGCCCGACAAAAAATTGACCCGGACGCAGGGCAAATGAAACGTGGAGAAGAAAACCGGTCAACTCCGACACCTGGCGAGTTGTTGCACACAGTCGCGTGGAGGGCCATTCGCCCAACACCCGCTCTAACTTCTGCTGTTTGTGTGGAGGCATGGTGACGGAAAGCTGTTGTGTATCAAGGATCCATCCCAACACTTCCAAGCGCGTCGAAAAATCGGTGATTTTCTCTCGAGATAGCAGCGGGGGATCATTTGGCCCCCGAGACCCCAGCAATCGGAAATGGTCGGACGCGATCGATTGCACAGCACGTATACAACGGCGACCATCTTCGAAAAACTTCGCTTCCACCAACACTCCATCGTCAACGTAATATCTGATGAAGAAGGGGGACCCAGCGAAACCACCGTCCAAAACAATCGTAGCGCAATCACGCGGTACAGGAACAGCGGGGCTTTGAGGCGGGCGGATTTTAACGTGATTGACCGCCTCCCCGCCAACAGGCGACACCGAAGCTGTTTGGAAGGTGGTATGAGTGTGTGAGTGCTCGAGAGCAGACGAAAACAGCGACCAGAAACCGGGGCTAGACCGCCATCCAAACTGGCATCTCAGGTCCACGACGACAAGGTCCCCCATAGTATATCCAAACACCGCCGCGCGCGACGGGTCGACCAATACCTGCCGAAAGGCCTCACGGACGTCGATTCGGCACAACAAAATCTCCAACTGCACGCCATGCAGTTGTCGCAGAAAAACAATGCGGGACAGAATGTCAAATAACACATGCCCCAACAGACACTCGGGCGCTCGGTCGAAATCGGTGTCAGCATTAACACTCGACCGAGTCCGGGTCCCGGCTTCGAACGTGAGATCATGAATTATGCGGAATTTCGGCTCCTCCACCACTCCGAGGGGGGACACACGCAAATCCAAAATCTCCCGTATAAAGCGGATGTCAAACACCAGTGCTCGACCCAACCGCACGTCTGACACAATCTTATCAGTGATTTGCTCTGTGTATGGTAGCGTGCTAGAGTGGTTGCCATATGCCACTTCATCTTCCAAACACCCGCCCACCGCCACGTCGACGGGGGCTCCCGGGCACAAAGCCCGGAGTAATGGTTCGATGAGCGGAAATTTTTTGTCAACACCGAAGTGGGAACGCACACAGTCCACGTCCACATGCGGCGAGAAAAACTGGGTGCCGCCAACGGCCACAAGCGCATCTACGCGCCCACCACACCGCCTCAACAGGGCGGAACCGGCCTCCGCAACCATGCGTAGGCCCACTTCTTTTTGAGATGATGAAACCGCATCATTCAAGGCAGATACACACGATCGCCAAACTTGAAGTTCATCAGAACCCACAATCGCATGTACTTCACCTGGTGACAACAAAGAGACAGACGCAGAAGCACACATCTCCCGCTCGCCAACTACGCCCTCCGCGGCAAGCGCAGCACGCCCCCGCTCGCGCAAACCGGGCCCAACTGTCTTTTTCGCCTCCCCACTCAGCACTGGAGTTGGCCCTGCCACACGGCAGAGCCCGTGTCCTCAGGTGCTGCCATCACGCACCCCGAGAGCGGAAGAGGTGCCGCTCCCCGTACGACCGCCTCCGCCAGACCCTCCCCCGGTGCCGCTGGCTCCCCCGCCTCCATCGCTGCGTCCACTCGCGCCTGCGCGTCCCCGACGCGCTCCGGCGTCGCCTCCGTCCGCAGCACCGTGATCATGGCGGTATCGGCAAGAATCACCAAACCTGCACGAGCCTTTGTCCCGATACTTGAAGCAAACTTGTCTACGGCGCTTGCCGCCGCCGTCGGCCGGCGCACTCGCGCGCCGCTTGGTACCAGCCACGGGCGCTCCGCCGCCGCTACGCGCAGCAAACATGCGGATGAGATGACTCCCGGAAGTAGCGAAACTAGCAATGCCAGTGAAGGCAGGCACAGGCGGCGGAGGGAATTGGTCGAAATTTGCCGGCGCTGTCGATAAGTGCTGCAGCGGAAGCATCCACGTCATAATTTCGTTGGACCATTGCCGGAAGTCTTCGTTGGGAATGCCGGCGAGGATGTCGCGCGAAGCTTGACCAGAAAAAGCGCCGTGGTGGCGCAGAAGCTGCATGCGCAAATTGATTTGGGCTTCCTGCATGGCCGTCTCCAACGGCTGCAACCGCTCCAGGGCCGCGGCCTGCTCGGGCACACTAGGCGCAAGGCCAAACTTTAAAACGCGCAAAATCGCCGCACACGTCATGTCAAAATGATCCGCGACCGACATTTCCCCGCGTTCACTGTCGGGGAAAAACTCGAGGACATTAAATCCTGACATATATCGCAACTGGTGCCACACCTTGTCCGTGCACTCCACGAAGCCGGCCATGACGGTCTTGAGTGTCTCCTTGGATTGGAGGTCGAAACCCCGCAAGCTACGGAGAGTCCACACGGTACGACCGGAACGCCACGCGGATGCATTGCTCTCAAAGTCTGCTTTGGCAGCGCGCCGTTCCCGGTCCGCAGCAGAGCCCGGTGATGCAGCCGCGCCCGCGTCCAAACCGCTTCCAGGCGCCACAACCGGTCCCCCAGCCTGAGCGGCGCCTTGTTGCCGTGCGTCCACCAACTGCTGTAAGGTGGCACTGATGACGGACAGCTGGCCCGCGAGGTTGTCGTTGTCCTGCTGCAGGGCCGCAATTTGCTCCGCGATGGGCACCGAATTCTCCGACGGGCTGCCGCCGGAGCCTGACGCACCCGCAGCCCCACCAGCGGCGCCAGCTCCATCAGCGGCGCCAGCGTCCACGCCAGCCCCCCCGCCATTAACGCTAAGCCCCGCCAAACCGGCGGTCAACCCGACGGGATCGGTACTCACCACCGGCGCCTGCTGTGGCGGTTGAAGTTGCTGCTGCTGCTGCTGCTGCTGCTGTTGCTGCTGCTGCTGTTGCTGCTGCTGCTGTTGCCGCTGCTGCCGTAGGTGCTGCTCCCGCAGCTGAGCCGCCAACGACGCGGCGGCCTCCGACACGATGGACGACGTAGGCCCTCCCCCTCCGGAAGCGAGGTCGACCGTCTCCGATGCAGCTCCGATTCCTGTCACCGGATCATCCTCGGGGAATTCGTCGTTTCCGCGAGCTGGCCCTTTGCCGTGAGACATGATAAAGCAAAGTCCGAAACTCAGGAACCCAGCTCGGAAGATTCAGGAACACAACCCGGAAGACGTAGGAACACAACCCGGAAGACACCCGTCGGCCCCACACGTGTACTCGCTCGTACCACTGCTGTCCACAACAGAGCGAGTGACAGAACTTCGAGGGCAACCACAACAACACTAGCCCTTCTCTCGCTCTCTGATTGGCCAACGGGTTTATTCTTCCGCCTCTCTCAAAACTCAGATTTCCTCACTACGTCATTCAATCTTCCGCTTACGGCGACCGATAATTGGTCCGACGGGGGTTGCTTCATGATGAGGGTATGTACCCCCCGCCTACGTTGCGGAGCCCCCGTACACGAAATCTCCAAAAGACAGACCCACTCCACACCACCACAGGGAGCCTGGTGCTCCCGCCGTGGTGGTCGCATCGCCACCAAACCTTGAAGGCTCTACGCTCAACACCGTCTGTAGGCTCCTTTGTGGCCTCGTCTGGTTGATGCGGGATCTGCGTGGGCCGAGAATTGAGAATCCGTGTGGACTTTTCGCAATCGTATTTTAGGCCTAAAATCCGCGTGCGAAATATCCACACGGAATTCGCGCTTTTGCTGGCACCGATTGACCTTTCTCGGCCTAGACACATCCGACAGCGATCAGAGCAGGCTTCAAAGAAGCCTACATACAGATGTCGTGCGTTGACCCTCCAAGGTTTTGTGGTAATGCGACTATCACGGCGGGAGCACCAGGCTCCCTGTGGTGGTGTGGAGTGGGTCTGTCTTTTGGAGATTTCGTGTACGGGGGCTCCGCAACGTAGGCGGGGGGTACATACCCTCATCATGAAACAAGTCGTCGAGCCAACTATCCGGCGGATATGAGTCAGCCTGAGAGATAAGTTTGAGGGGACGGGCTAGGGGTCAACGTGAAGTTCGCCGTCCGCAGATGCTCCCCCCCCTCCCCCAGGTTTATGCGTGTTGTTGGCTTCATCAGCTTGCTGTTGGTGTCGTGCCTGTGTTGGATGCTTCAGCTTCGCCACTGGCGGTCTTGCCCTTCCAATGCGCAGAATCTTGAAACGATGCTTTTTTTCTTACAAAGACGCAACAAATTTATTTATCTCATGTCTTCCGACAGGGCGAACCTGTTCACGACCCCGGAGGCAAGGGAAGCCCTGTTCAAGGAGGCTGGGGTGGTTTTCGTGAAGGTAAGAGAGGGGCCCGAGAGACCACAGGTCCGTGAAACCACCCTGCACTGCTGCTGCTGCTGCTGCTGCTGCTGCTGCTGCTGTGTCATGCCTCTGGGCGCCGAGTTTTACGCCTTCCGGCATGCGTCGGGTTCGTTGTTTCTCTGGATAACCGGGGCGACACCGGAGGAAGGAGAGGATGCACACATACCATGTATTTCTTGGGGCTCCGCCGCCTGCCTTCTGCGGAGTTAGCCTGATTTCTTTTTTCATCACGAGAGGAATTCAGTTGGTTCTTCCCCTCGTCGATCGTGAAGAAAGTCGAGTTTTGCCGTTATCCCCCGAGTTACCCGCTACATTACCTAAGCTTGCTTGGGCGTGACGCGAGACAGAACAGTCTCAGTTCGTGTGACGGCGCCGAGATTAAAACGCCTGTCCCAAAGCGATCAGAAGCCTGCGAGGTTAGCGACGGAACCTACCGACAAGTGTCAACCTCTGAGAGAGAACGAACAATACTCTCGGTAGTATGTACAGCAGTGGTTTGAGAAGGCATGTGCTAGGAGAACATGTTGACCGGTTGAGTTCGCACCACCACAGAGATGAGGGCGCTATTAGGGGTTTGCTCAACGTCCGCACACCTGCCTTGTCGTGCTTGGGGAAACGGTTAACCAGGACTCGAGCGCCAACAAGTGCGGCGTTATCTGCAGCTCGTTCGAGATCATCTCGTCCATGCTCATGACGTCCGAGGAGTTCAAGGAGAACAAGGTGAGGAGTAGAAAGTATACCACTAGAGAAAAGAAGAGAACAAAATGTGGAAGAACAAAATATAAGGGAGCAGGGTAAACACAGCCACGATTAGAGCAAACGGCAGAATAGACCTCTGAAAAAGGACGGAAGAACACAAGAGACCAGTTAATGGTTAACAGCTGCAGAAATAAGTGACAGACCTGTGTACTTTTACGGGGGGTGCTGGCTGCGCATCCCACAGGCTGTGGGGATGTGGGATGTGGCTAGGGTTGATAGCATTTCGGTTTGTGTCTGACGACAGGAGCGGGAAGGGGCGTCGCGAGAGCGATGTAGGCCCACACAGCGGACATGGTGGGCCAGGTCACACTGCCGGGACACTTACATACCCCACCGAGCCACGTACACACATACCCCATATTTCAACCAGGTGATAATATCAGTGAGTGCCGTGTTGAATTCCGAAATAACAACAACGATTTCCCCCGATGGTATCAAACAGGAGGACATCGTGCTCGACGTGTTGGAGAAGCTCAGGGACGCAGGTCGCCGAGAGGCCGAGCTCCTCTTCCGCGAGCACCGCAACCACCCGGCCACGCCCTTGCCGGCCATCAGCGAGCGAATCAGTAACGCTATTAACTCTGTCACCGACGCGGTCCTCAAGATCCTGGATGATGCACCTGCGGTGAGAGTTGCAATCCTGTGTCACCGATCGGTAGGTTTCGAAGCGAAGTGACGTTTCCTGTGATCACCTCAGGTTTCTGGCCATAAAGTCTTGAGGCGGATATAGAACAACAATGGTCCAAACATTACTTGATTTTCTTTCGTGTTCAACAACATTGATTTTTTGTTTGTAGATGTGTGTGTTCATCACGATTTCGTCATCGTCTCGTGGAAATCAGGAGGAGCAGGAGGAGCACCTCCGTCTCCTGCTGCCTCTGTTCCGGGAACACCTCCCCGAGAAGCTCGTCGAGGCAGCCTTCGACAGGGTGCCCACCACCCTGCCCCCGCAGTACCTCCGCAACGCCATGGCCTCCTGCCTCGCCTGCAGGGTTGTTTACAAGGAGGGTGAGTCCGTCAGATGGGGCTGGTGTGGGGGGGTGGGGGCGTACTGATGTTTTGCATGCCAAATGAGCGAATAAACCATCGGCCACGATTCTTCGACAAGACGAGCATTAGACGGGGCTGGGGGGGGGG